AAAAAAAGAAAGAAAGAAAAATTGAAGAATGTGGGCAGGGAACTTCTTGTTTTCCTGTCATGATTCTCCTAGCATAGAACAGTTTGTATATCCATAATGCTGTCTAAATGCAGTTTGTGCTGTACAAGATATTGATTTTACAACCTCACTTATTTGCATTAATAACTTAATAAACTACTGAATTTTGCAAATTAGTAGGTTGAATCAACACAATTAAAATTCATAATGGATTAAGATAATGCATTATAATACCTAGGGCCCTAGATTGTACTGTTTGTAAAAATAAATAAATAAATAAAAAATGAGGTTGTAATTATGTCTTACAATCATGCAGAGTTGTTGGGAAAGCTTACCTCAGGAAGATTTATCTAACTAGCTTACCTTAGTTGAAGCCTTACAAGGTTGACTAGGCTAACAACTCATAAATGGGAATGCACTGATTGGCATGCTGAAGGAGTTCCTTCATGCTCCACTTATGAAGTAAACCCAAGTGCTACTGCACCATCTCCAGAAGGATCCCAAGACTGTGCTGGAAAACAAGCCCCATCCACCTGCTCCCATTTTTGCTTGTCACTTAACCAAAAAATGTTAGATGGTCCCTTTCTGCTACATACACAAAGTGATTCTTAGGATCTTAAGTCTCAGGTGTGCTCCAGGGCAGTGCTGGACATGCCCCATTCTGCCCTATTAACTCCTCCTACACAGTGGTTATTTTCAAGAAGCAGCAATCAGCATATGCAGAGTAGAGGTAAGTGGGACAGAGTGTGTTTCTTGGAGACCAGCTCTTTTTGTTTTCTTCTCATTTTCTCTTTTGTCCTATGGAGGAAAAGTTAAAAAAAGGGGTGGGGGGTGGGGGGGTGGATCAAGCTGTTAGACATTAAGACAACTGCCAGGATGGCACTAGGATTAACCCAGGCTGATCAAAGAATGTTTCCTTGCCCCTGCTGAGTGAGAGCTTCCAGGGCTGATTATATTGAACTTTAATAAGGCTAGTGTGAAGCACTGTTACAACATCTTTGAGAGGTGAAGAGCGATTACTGACTTGATACACACAAAATAGGAAGAGTGTCCTATATCCATCGTGGGTTTTATTTAACTTTTAAAGTGTTGTATTTTGTGAAGTATTAAAAGTTAATCAAAAAGCACTCCAATCTTGTTTTTCTCCTCCTTAGCTCTTCCACAGCCAGAAGAAAATCAGTTAAAAAGCTACCACTTAAAATGTTTAGAGAATTTAGTTCAGCTTCTCAACAGTTAGTGACTGTTAGAAGACTTCTCATATTGAAGTTGGACAACTTGCTCAGTGGAGAAAGTAGGATGTGAAGAAAAGACTTTTATTCCTTAGATTTGTACAATCAGCACGTTACAGAAGAAATTACGACATCTTTGGAAAAGTTGATCACCTTATGCCAAAGAATTTATATTGAATGTGGTTGAACCTGTGTATATTGTAATCCCAATGGGAAAATTTGAGAGTGCTCTTATGTGTGGGAAGTGCAAAAAAAGATTATGTTAAAATTATTACTGGAAAATATTAGTTGTTGATTTCAGCAAGTCTAAATAAAGTATATTTTATCAAAATTAATGTTGATTGTGAACTGTAACTTATAGATGTATATAAGCAAGATACATTTTAATACTCTAATTTCTTTAAGGATTAATTTCTACATCAATTGTTCTGTTGTATCCTGATATATCATAAGTGACATTAGCTTTCATATTCCGATTTTTTTCCGTTGTAAAATTAAAGCCTTTATTTCTTAAATTAATGCGAAGTAAAAGACTATTCCCTATTGATACCACAGTGATAGTTCTGTTAATATAGCAGATCTGTTGTCTGTATACATATTTGTGGCACTTCTATTAAAAATCAAAATGCAATAGTTTTAATCCCAGAGTTGTTGAAAATATTTCCAGAATGCCTTTGGTTTTAGAGTTCTGGAACTGTACAAAAACTTGTTCACTTCAGGAGTTTAGTCTGTTATCTGTGATTTAAAGAGCCATATATACACTGCTACCATATTAATAATGTAATTGGGGGACAGCTCAGTAAATTGTATACAACCAAGAAAACTAAATTGTGAGAAGAGTGTTGTAATGTAAAAGTTTGGCTGAGAGCTTAAATGCTTCTCAGATCCTCAATATGGCCCTTATGTTCCCCTGTAATACTTTTTAGGACTACATCCAGGATAGGTGACACAGGATGATGGCAGACGTATAAAAATAATGGCATGAGGGGTTTGATCCTTTGTTCGAACAGTTGCATAACCTGCCATACCACACGTTCATGGCAGGACATGCAGTTCTGGAAATTAGAAACAATCCCAGTTGCACTATTATCAGCAAGGGATCCTGGTGTTCTCTGATTTAAAAAAAAAAAAAAAA